GTTCGATGGAAAAGATTTTCATTTTAGATCTTTTTGGTCTGTTGGCGAGATATTTTTTCTTTAATCACCCAGTCCATCCCTCAGAAGGTAACTGGAGGGCTCCTAAAGTAAGTTTAGATATGAGGGTTGCCTCATTTATTCGACTAGACGCCGAGGCGTTTATTAAATTTTCAGCGTTTCAAATGCGGTCTATATTCAAGAGCGGCGTTTATTTCGAAATCACTTTTCTTAAATCACCGACAGCAGTTGCTGTAAATCGTTTGTAAATATAATGTACTTTAAAGGTTCCAATGTCTCTCTTATTTTGCTGAGATAGCATCGTAATTGTCTGGATGGTGCAGATTACGAAGTTGTACGGAGTTTTTTTTATCATCATCCTCGAATAGACGCCGCGTTCTTTCGATTAGTTGCGGCGTTTACTTGAAATCTAGTCCCCAGTGCTTTTTCCATAGAAAATGGGAGGAGAAAGCCCTGGGGACGAGATTGGAAGGAAAGCGCCTCTTATATATCCTACTTTTTGGAGCCTATTTTTGACGCCAATGTATGATCATGTATCCTTCGCTTCAAAAGTGCTGAGAACATTGACCGCCAAAGCCCCATTCTCGTCCCCAGAGCCCGTCGTTTCTTGGTCACGAGGTCTTGGTTCGTTACAAATTAGGCCGAGTGGATCTGTGGACGAGAATACCAAAGCCCGTCAAGGCGAGAAACTGGACTGGTCCCGGTCGGAAACTGGACAAAATACCGTAAATTTTCTATTAAACCCCCTCGGATGCTTACTGAATTCAAACACATTTGATGGGAAGGGGGCGTTTTAATATTTGCTGGGTACCCCTTTTATTTTTTATTTACATCATGATGGGCTCCTGCATCAACGATTTGCCAAACTGCCTAACTTCATGCCAGCCTAGGATGTATACTGATGACACACACATCACTTATGCAGATGTTGATGTGAATTCAATACAATTAAAGAGAGGAGGGCTTGTTTATAGAGAGGGCGCTTATTTGAGAGAGGGCGTCATCATTAGATCCCATCGGGCGTAGCCCCTTTCTCCCCTCATGAAATGTATACAAAGTAGAACTGTTTTCTGCTTTTATATCACACTTAGATGATATTTCAAGCTGGAAATGTTTCAATTTGAAAGAAAATAAATTGATATGTGGAGCGGTAGGATTTGAACCCACAACCTAGAAAACCTAATATACCACGCTAACCACCAGACCACTAAGGAAATATTTTAAGTACATAGAGCATCAATCCCGATCCCCCAAAAAGAACCTAATCTGTAAAAGGAGGTGCTTAACCCTAATCTATAAAAGGCAGTGCTTAACCCTAATATATAACGAGGAAAAACTACGTTGTGTAAATTTTCATGATGTGTGATTTACCTGAAGGTCGACTTTACATTGGCAATGCTGGCCGATACTGGCCAATACTGGAATACCTTGGCTTTTTTCTAGAGCGCGCCCTTAATTAAACGTCATTTCCGGTCGGAAGTTACTTGCATCGCCTCAATCTTACAAACCGCCACTTTTAGAAACTATTTTCCGGCGCGACCACATTGCATGCATGTATGAGATGAAGGTCTGTGAGCTTAAAATACTGGCGAGTGTTTGGTTAACGGAAACGTTTGATATTGCAGACTTTTATTTCACAGCTGTTAGCGAAAGTCGCCTTTGAATTTTTATGAGTTGCTACTGTTGTTTTGGCGCGAGATTTCGAGCGAACACGACATGGCATACGAGGAACGGCGAGTGAAAGTTGCGGTGGCAGTTCGATCTTTATCAGAAAAAGAAAGAACTGACAACGAAGAATATGTTGTGGGGACGCTAGGCAATGAAGTTAAAGTTCTTAACCCTGAAACTAGACGAGAAAAGTTGTTCAAGTTTGATTACACGGTGAGTTAATTCTGCAAAGGGCCTGGCATTTTCGTGGCATATTTGAAATTCAAGGTTCGGCTCCGGGTTTGGCTCCGCTTAGCTTTATGCTTGTAAACGGCTTATCGTATTGACCGCTCTCGCCAAGCAGCGCATATAATTTCTTGCTTCTAATTTCGTAGCAAATCTCTGATCTTGATTAAAATAAAGTGATGTTTTAGTCATTAACCTGATTGATAATTTTATCGACTAATTATTGTGGTGCTATTGTTATATTTTGTCTCGCAGTTTTGTGACAAGACGAACGAAGACACCTTAATTCCACAGACCAATGCGAAGGTAATTAAACGATAAAGCTTTGGGTTTTATATATTGGATTTCGCGTTTTTTTTAAATTTCAGACGGTGAAATAACATTAGCAAACACTGTGCTTAAATAATAGAATGAGCTCACGCTGAGTTTATGGTTCTTCGCCCTTAGTTAATTTTTGTTAACCCTGGTGATTTTAAAGAATGCCGTGGACATGTGATAGAGATTGAGGTGAATGGCGGTGGCCATAAAAAAAATACGACCATATCTTTCCACCGTTAACATAATTAAGTTACAGTAATGTTAAAGGACATCTTTTGTGAATAAATATTGTATCGCATATCCCTTGTTTCTGATTTCCCGTTAATTTTGCTTGGAGTGTGAACCGGATACGCGATTCAGTCGTGTTCCTAAAGCAAAACGAAAATCTTGAATAAACCGGATGTTTCACAATGTTTTTGTTATTTCATGGCGCGCCGAGAGATTTATCGAATGCTTTATCACGACAGGAAAGGCGAAGATCAGGAAGTTTTGCGACTCTCCAGATGTACATTAAAACAAACTTTTTCACTGTAGTATTTTATCGCACACTCTCAAGATCCGTGTAATTTAAAGATCGGGGTCAACTCCACTTCAAGCTGTTTGGGTGTACCGAACTCTTCACACATAACACGCCAAGTTATCACATTTTTTCGCTTTTCGGTTTTTATTAGTAAGTTACAATTATTATTATTGTGGCATCTTTCATATAGCGCTACTCTTTGCTAGTCGTGGCTGATTTGAATAAATCTTAGTTTAATACGGATTTTTTGCCCCTGTCAGGTTTTAGAAAGTATGGAAATATTTTCTTTCACTTGACACCTCGAAAGATCAGTTCCTATGTGTCCTGATCTACACACACCTTTGCCAAGTAAATAGATGTAATTAATGTTGGCAATTATGTCAGCCTTTTTGTCCATAGTTAATTTGTTTGGCAATTGAACTCAAGGTAGTGTAGATTTGCCTAGGATTTTTAGAACCTATGAAAGATTTGTGTTAATCAGGCACAAGAGAAATAATTTCATTTCATAATTATATACTGGTGTGTGTAGGGTTTCGTAGTGTGCGACAAACGCAGACTGCAGGCTGGCAAGTAAATGAAGTAAACATTGTAAGTTGTAGAATGCTCTAACAGAACCCCTATCCCTAAATTAGACTTTTAAATGACTTAAACTTTAGGGATAGAATCTCTGTTAAAGCATTCCACAAAAAGGTTTTCCTCGTTTTAATACCTACAAGTCTGCAGTCTGCCTTTGTCACACACCGGGGGTTTCGTACTTCCTACAGCAAATGATTGACTCGACATGTCAGGCAGTTTTGAAGGGGTATGATGTGACAGGGGTTATGCAAATTTATTGATCTTTCACAATTGAGTAGCTGGAAAACCCTAGTTGCTAAGGTTTTAGGAACATTTTCTTGAGGTTTGCACTTAGGCAGGGATTACATTAAATTTTGAAGATGTTATCATTTAAGCTGGCTTAAAGGTTTTGATTTGAGACAATTTCTGTAAGCGTTGAGGAAGTCCTATAAGGGCTTAAACATGTATGTCCATAGTCTGAAGTTTCACATATTCTGAAGGAAGCCATCTCCCTTTCGGTATTTTACTGTTGTATTTGAGATTTTTTCCGTCGTTGTCACAGTTTCAATCCATCTGTATGTCACTTGTTGCCATTTCATGATCTTTCATCTGTGCTCATGTTGCTGTTTCAAGGCCCAGTTGCTTGTTGGAGTTTTATCCTAAGAGGGCATTAGTCAAAGGACCAAGCAATTTTGAGCTTACAGTGTAAATAGACTTCTTTTCACTGCTGGAAACTGTCATTGTGTATGCGTGATTACGTGATTATAAATAAAATTCTGGAGTAAACCACAGCGTGACATGATGTGTGACATGCATGACTGTGTAAATAAATTAAATGTATCTGAAAGGGCCAGAATCCAAGGTCAACTTTATAAAAGAAGTAGAAAGCAGCAGTACCCAGGTCAGAAAAAAAGGCTAAAAGCCATCATAGTGAATTTGGTAATATTGTCTAATTATATGAAAAATACTTTATTGTGCAAAATTTTTCCCAAATCTTATCAACAAATCATCCGCAACCAACCTGTGGTGTGTTTATTCTGTTCAGCTGAACCCTATATTTTGAGCAGTATTGTTTTTATAGCCTTTGTTTTGTTTAAAAAGTTGGTTCTAAATTTTGAGCGTGCTAATGAAATTCTACGCAGGATCTCTTCTGCATTACAATACCTTTCAGTTCCTAAAAAAAGTCCTGTCCAGTAGTCTGGGACAAGAAAATTTTCTTGCTGGGCAAGTACACTTACTTGCCCAATGGGGAAGGTTTCAGTCAATTAATCCTCTAAACAAATCATTAAGTAACAAAGATGGGCAAGAATTGGTCGTGGGCAAGCAAAATGATTGAGCTGCTTCCAAAGAACGAGCTGGAGTTATTCAATTTTAAGCCCTGCCATTATATGGTACCATTACCACCTCTGGGAGAAAAATGTGAATAAAAGCATACATGCAGTAAACTCTGTTTAAGAACATTTGTTTCAAGAAAGGTCTCCTCTGTCTTAGAGAGTTGCCCAGAGACTTAACTGAATCACAAAAGTGTATTTTATTTATCATTTATGTAATTGTTTATTTTTAACTTATTCTGATTCATGTACCTTATTGGATCTCTGCACCTATAAATAGTGAAATGGAATCAAGTTATGAATTGGATCAATCTATTCCAGTTCAAATGCCTTTTTTTAAAAAAAAAAAAAACATTTCTATGATGATGGTGCCTTTTTTGCAGGTTTTGGAAGAGGTTGGCCAGTTTGTACTCTCATCATGTTTTAGTGGTTATAACAGTTGTTTGTTTAGCTATGGGGCATGTGGCAGTGGCAAGACGCACATCATGTTTGGAACAGATAAAAGCCAAGGTCTCATGTCATGGATTTGTGAAAACCTTTTCAAAAGAGCTTCATGTTATGATGATGATACATCTTTCAGAGCTGAAATCAGGTATAATTTTTCTTTTACTTTTATAAGGGGTTTACTGTATTTACATGGATTGGAGAAAAATTTATTGAATTTTCTTTTATGGGAAAGTCCTTACATTTCAGGATATGTTCCCTCTCCTTTTATCGGTAAGAGAGGTTTTCTTTTGAGAAATGTCTGCATTTATCATCGTAGTGATATCATGATTTTTTTTGTTGACTGGTTTCATTCCCCGTACACATCTGTATTTTGCAAAAAGATGATTTCGATTGAGCACTGTACTGTGACTAGAAGCAGCTATCTTAGTTGCAAATGTACCAAAGGGACAGGCATCCAGATATATATAGCATCATTAAGGAAAACAAGGCATGAAGAAATAGGAATTTTTGCATACTCTTTGCTGGGCTTTGTAAGGAAGGTATACATTCTTGATGATTACAAATTTACCAAGAGCAAGCATCCAGGTGTGTGGCATCAGGGAAGGAAGCATATTAAAAATGGGAATTTTTTTGCTACTGTGAGCCCAGATGGATAGTCTTTCCAGCTAGTGGTTTGATTACACTAGTTAACTTCAGAGTGGTTACAAATTTACAATCATTTGTTAAGGGAAGTGGGTGCTATGTGTATAACCTCAGAGAAGAAACAGAAATTTTGCACCACTCTGCACCTAGCAGATACGCACTCCTTAGGTTGAACTTGGTACATTTATAGTGTCTGCAAATTTACCAAGAAGGCACTGGTGTCCAGTTGTATAGCATGGGGAATAAAAGTATGAAAATAGGAATTTTTGCAGTACTCCTTCAGTCCCAAAGTGGCCAAAATCTGAGTATTAGTCAAAAAAAATTCAAATTTTGGATTGTACGATGCCAAAAAAAAAGTACTTCTTGAAGATGCCATACAACCGGCTATGGTACACTGAGTTCTTGTAAAAGTGGAATTTTTTGTTTTGTACAGTTTTCTTGAAATACACAAAGAATTTGTGAAGGATTTGCTGGGAAGAAGAAGAAACTGGCAGGACTCATTACGAGGTATACAAACTTGAATGACTGATACACGTGTTGCCTTGCATGGTATAGTAAAAATTATTAGTTCTGCACTTGTAGTTAAAGATACGTAAATCAGTAGGGCTGTACAGTTTTGGTCTTTTGAAAACTTACAGCTTTCAAATTTAGCCATTTCTTTATTCTGATCAGATGTTGACTTAAGCAGCTTCAAACTGGAAAAAGAAAGTGTCAGCCCTTAGCAGACTGTCTTGTTCTGCAAAAGCTACTTTTTGTTAACCGCATGAATGCATTTATACCTATTCTCCAAATGACCATTGTACTAATGTGCAATTACAGAGTGAGAGTTTGCAATTGGTCCAGTTTGTACAAGAGACTGATGATCTAGCTTGATAAGCTTGAGTAAGCATTCCTAGCTTGTCTCCTAATTATTTGTTTCAAAAAAAAAATTGCCAACAGATAAATTAAGTTCATCATATAAATGACTTAATTGTAATAATCACTTCCAAGAAACAAGCTTGCAAAAGTTCATTGTTGGAAGGTCAAGCAAAACAAGGCTCAGTATCAAACTGGATTCCTGTCTCCTTTAGAACCTGAGATCCGGCTCTATTTTTCTTTGGCTTGGTAAATAAAATTCCGCCCGCAGGCAAGGTAAAACGAAAACCTGATCTCAGGTTATCTTCTCTAGTAAATACTTTTAAGATTATTGTTTTAATGGGAATATGGGTAACTATAGTGGTTTTTATTTGCTTTCCTTGCAGTACGTGAACACCGTGAATTTGGTGTGTATGTCGACAAATTGACAAAACATATTGTTACAGATGTTTGTGAAGTTTTTGGATTGATTGATAAAGGGAAGAAAAATAGGTGAGGTCTGTTGCTGTCTACTGTAACCAAGGTTCAGATCATTAGCTCCCAAATAAGAGCTGGAGTTCTGTCAAGGATTTAAGTTTTTTTTCATTACTGACTACTGTACAAACCAGTACATGTGACGTATCTTATTTACCTGACTGAGTATACAGCTGTAAGTAAATGGCTGCCCTTTGTTGAAGCTCGACACAAGAGTTTCGTCCATGGTTCCTAGAAAGAAACTTATCATCAAACAATCTTCTATTTCTAAGATTTTGTTAAAGGTAAGGTTTTTGCTGTAAAGTTTATTCCGCCCTTGTAGACTACTCGAATTGTTTTCACCAAGAGAGAATAACAAGACAGAGAAGTAAACGCCCAGCCGAGCCCTTGGGATTTGTGCATTTTAGCAAAGTTATTTTTAGACCAATTAAACGCTTGTAATTAATCGGAAGTTGGTTTCCAGCGAGGTCCACAAATTTTCATTCAGTTTTGTCCAGAGAGAGTTCAGCAGTCGCTAATACAATATTCTGCATCGTTTTGTTTGAGGCAGTCGCGCGTAAAGTTGATAACATTTCAAAAAATCGATTTATATGTGCGGACGTCCCAGTATTTAGACTTCCGTTAAATCACAACCTTTAAAAAAACTTTAATGAAATTCACATATCCTTGCCAACGCTCTAAGATTTCCTCCCTTTCCCATTACTCTCTCTGGTGTAAGCACATGTTCCTCTTCTACAGCAAATGTTTTCGAAAGAAATTCCTCTCCTACCACGCTCTTACAGACTGTCACTAACGCAAAGTCCCGAGGGACAGGTGTCCGATTTTTATGTCATTCCTACAAGCATTTTCATGTACATACTTTTCAATGAAAAAAATGAACAAGAAGAAGAAATATAAATCGATTAGTCGAAACATATTTGAACATGTCATCTACTTCTACGAATCTGAGTGTACATTTGTTTCATCTTTACAGATCAGTTTGTTCAAGAGCGTCAGATTCATTTTCCAGTAGTTCGCATACAATCTTCACCATAAGGTTTACCCAGGTAATAACAACAATTGAATATATGACTTTTTTCGTGATGTTTGAGGCGATTTGTATTTAACGCACGTTGCTGTTTCGAGGAAATTTTTAATATTCTTAATCTATTTAGGCACGTCTTGAAGAAAATTTGCCGAGTGAAATTGTCAGTGTGATTCAGCTTGTGGATTTAGCAGGAAGCAAGAGCATACATGACGAGGTAGATTGACATTTGCAAATAATTTGGCTTCCTTAAAAAGGAGATATGTCTGGTGTTGGGCACCATTCTGGTCAGACAATACGAAAGTGTGGTTATACTCAATCGAGGATGCCTCATGCGTCGTAAACGAAAACCATGCATGGTAGACAATGGTAGACACACGTTTCGCTGGTACAGCAATAACAACAACAACGTTAGCAAGACTACCATTTTGTACTGGTTAAAACCAGAATTACAGAAAGTAATTTTCATCCAGGCCCTTACTACTAATTACTGCCATGTATTCTCTCCAGTAATCGTGGCAGTGATAATAGGCCCTTTGCAGCATGTCAAACGCCATGCTGAAGAGCAAAGGAAGCACCGGCAAGATAAAATAGCAATTTTCTTTTCTCAGTGCGTCCCTTTTTCTCCAGCATGGCGGTCTTGTTCCACGTGAATTGGACGACTAGCTGCAATGGGCCTATTCATAAGTGCTCAAGGTAGATTTTGTTCATCTGCAAAATGATAGTCCAGGGCTCGACGTTGCGACCTGTGGGGTCGCCAATGCGACCAGCTTTTACTCAGTGGCGACTAAATTTTCACCGCTAGTCGCCAACCTGGCCACCAAGATAGGTGACTTTCTTCTTTGGGTAAACGTAC